ATGATTTTTAACTCCATTCCTTTCCTTGCTTTTAAATTATTTTGCATATATATATATCATTCCATGTATCATAGCTTTAAAATATTATGGCTGGGGTATGTCGCCTAATAAAGCGATTTGTTATAACGATGTATCATAGCTTTAAATTATTATGGCAGGCGTATGTCGACTTATAAAGCGATTTGTTATAACAATTATTGGTGTGTTGACTTCATTCTGCTCACAGATGTCCATCAACTTCATACTTTGAGAATATATCTCTGCCCTAAATGGTCGCCATATCCAAAACTTAGTACATGTATATTGTTTTGTAATGCGATTCTGCTTTGTTTCACATCTGTCATACACACAAAGACTAAATAAACCTATTCAATTCCATTAAATGGAAGAAAAATAAATACTTCTCAAAATACTTAGTGTTTTCGACTAAAATCGTTGATCTAGGACTTTAAATGTCGGCCAACTAGCTTAGTGTCTGTTCTCAAGCAGAGCTAACTGTAGACAGCCAGCCTAAGTTTAGTATGTGTCGACTTATTGGAGCATATTATATCAGAGAGTCAATGATGTTGTTATGAGTTGAGTGGTGTTTTAAGGTTGAAATTTGAAATTTGTCTGGCTTTAGTCATTTGATATTTTCGTGCTTTTTATTTCCATGTGTGGGTAAGGGGAGGGGGCAGACACGATCGCAAATATCTTTGAATGGAATGTTTTCATATTAGATATATTCCTGAAACATAAAACAAATATATTAACATAAATATTATAATTTGATTAAAAGTGTGCCATAATTCACGAGTATTTCAATTTTTAGACAAAGTGGTCTGTATCCAAGTTCATTATATTACAACATATTTATAGTGCGCCCTTTCATATAACATGTTCAGGGGTACTTTACAAAGTGACAATATAATCATAAATAAACAACAAGATTATGGACATTTAAACGATTGTATACAGAGTCAGATAAAAGCCCGATTAAATAATATATAACAGGGATTATAATTCAGATTAAGTCAAATATGATTATGTACATAATGAATAATTTATGTTAATTATATACAAGTTATGCAGTTTTTTCTTGTTTATGTTTATGTATATTATAATATGTAAATACATATACTGTGTAATTATGTATAATATATAATCTGATTTGTTATTGTACATAACAATGTTGTTCAGCGAGACAATGCATAACATTTTAAAAATGCAGAAGATTTTATAAGATTATGCTTATGTTTTCTGCGGGTCCTCCGGTTTCCTCCCACTGTTAAAGTTGCAATTTCATATTTTTAAGTTATATTTTTAAAATTTATTAAAATAAAGCCTTAAAATAGATGATATCTATAAACAGTCCTACCTTGTTAAAGAATAATCCTATTAATCCTATAATTCACTATTGCCAGTTGAGAAATTGGCAAAAATATCATTTTCATCTTCAAATTCAAACGTTTGCAGATAACTACTCCATGGTGGAGAATAGAAAACAAGGGAGGTAATTGTGTTATTATTTCTGGTGTAAATGAGTTTTAAGTGTGAGAATGACACCTATGATCGTATAATAGTGAATTGACAACCTATTGAGCAAAAGACATAGAAATAATTATGTTTTGACTTTCTTAGAAAATATGAAATTGTAACTTTAAGGACCCCTTTAAAACCAGCGATTTATAAAAATTAAATTATTAGTCCTGAAATGACCTAGTTTGTGTTGAGTGGACTTTAAGCCCTGTTTCTCTCTCTCAGTTATAAACCCAACACTCATCATTTAATCTAGACAGACCATTTAAACTACACAACAGTAGAAACACAATGGTTTTCTACAATTCTCAACAATGGTTTGAAGCTAACTATTAAATATAGAAACCCTTGCTAAATCAATACAACAAAATGATGTATAATGCTTACCCTCAACAACTCATCTGTAATCAAATCAGTTATTGTTCCTAATAATGGTCATACAGACATAATATTATGTTAATGCATAAAACTGTGTACCAGGGGTAGTTGCCATTTCTGACCATTTTTGGATCCATAACCCCGATAACATACTGTTTAATCATGTAACATAAAGATAGATTATGTAACATAAAGATAGATTATTAACACAATTTTGAATTATGTAACATAAGGTTAACAGATGCAAGAAAATGTTAACTTGTGTTACAGTATGTGATACAATGTTAAATTATGTAACATAATGTTAAAGTATGTAACATAATGTTAAAGTATGTAACATAATGTTAAAGTATGTAACATAATGTTAAAGTAGTAACATAATGTTAAAGTATGTAACATAATGTTAAAGTATGTAACATAATGTTAGAGTATGTAACATAATGTTAGAATATATGTGACATAATGTTGAAATATTTGACACAATATCAAATGACACAGTCACACAATGTTAAAATATGTAGCATAATGTTAAATACAGTGAATGTTCAGTTATGCAGCATATTGTTAAATTCGGTGGCAGTATTAAGTTAATGTTAACTTCTGTAACATTATGTTAGATTATGTAATATAATGACAAATCCTGTAAAATATTGTTAAAATATGTGACAAAGTGTTAAAGTATGTAACATAATGTTAAAACTAGTGCTAATGTAACATAAAATGAAATGTCATCACAATGATTAATGTTTTATAATTTTAGTGGTGATTTTATTGGAATGATTTGTCATATTGAGATTTTTTTTGTGGAGTAATAAATCAAGTCAATCACAGTTTAGTGGGGTGTTTTATGTTAATCCGTGAGATATGCTGTAGGCATATTAAAGATTCCCCAGACAGTTACAAACAAAGTAAAAGTAGAGCTCTCTCTCTCCCTTAGTTAAGGTACCATCATTTAGTCAAAATTGTTAGTTGTACTGGGGAGGTCATTCAAATAACTTCACCAGCACTATTGTTGGGGAGGGTTGGGTGGCAGAATCATAAGGTCTGGCATTCAGTCAATTGGTGTGGTTCTGACTCCCATCTTGTACGTGACAAGGAATGGGGTTACCTGTCCAAACTCCTACATGCGAATGAATTATTGTCGGTGCAAAAAGCAGGAAGTTAAATTTCATTTTATTTCATTTAAATTTATTTCATTTCAGTTATGAACATATATAAAATCGCAGAGAGAAATCTGTCCACGAAGCACACAATGGAATGAAAATAGTTCATTTGAATTAGTCCCTGGTCCATTGTACTCATGGGCGAAGAATAATCTTCTATTTGACAGAGCCCACATCAGCACTAATCCCAACCATAACCCTTACCCTGGACCTAGCCCCAATGCTTGCCCTAACCCTAACCTACAATCTCGTCAACAATCAGTGCCAAAACCTTATTTACATCTCAGTGACCTTGAAAAAAATTCTGCTGGCATTAACAGATAGATTTAGCCTTTGTGGTCTGTCGCCATTTGTCGGCCTTTATCATACATATCATGTGTGTCATGAACTTTTGACAACTGGTAATCTGTTTGTCAGATGGATTGTATTATAAATATTTTAGAATCTTTTAAAAGGAACTTAAAAACAGAACTATTCCGACAGTCATTTTGTTAATGACTTTAATGACGCTGTAATTTGCGCCAATGAGCAGCCTTTTGGTTGGAATTCCAGCGCTATATAAGATGATTATTATTATTATTGATGCAATTTGATTAAAATACAGATCTATATTTCGTTTCGTTTCTTTATACTTTCAATGGCCTACACTACATGAAGATGTGGTCGGTTGTTGCGATAGGTCACATTAGAGGTCATACAAACGATGTTTGATCTATGACGTCAGAAATTTGATTAACCAATCCACATTGATGTTACTAGTGGATTACCCACAGTTCTGTGCAAAACACGCCTAAAGCTCGCCATAACAGACCGTTTCATTGGCTAATACCTCACACCATTCAGAACACGATAATGATAACAACTCTTCCAGATCCTAGTGTAGTAAAGACAAGTAAAATGAAATTTTGAACTATAAAAACGAAATGAAATCGAATCTGTGTTTTAATCAGATTGTCATTGATGATCATGTTGTTGATAACTGGTGATCTGTTAGACAGATGCTTGGTATTAATATAATATACTTTCTCATTGATGATCATGTTGTTGATGTTGTTTGTTCAGCTAAAACCCTACAATATGGTGAAAAAATTTCATATAGGATCGAGGTGAGTCCAAATATAAAAATATTTATATGAAAAAAAACAACCAGAGGTATTGAAAAATGAAACTGCATGTGCATACTGATTCCATGCCTTGTGTGTGTGCTGATATCATGTTTTGATGTCTTTGATAGTTCAGATAATTTTAATAATAGTTTTAACTAACATACAGTGGTCTTAACATATGCATTTCTATTACAAGCAGCAAGCCTGTAAATCGGGCACCTGAATTTCTATTACCAGCAGCAAGCCTGTAAATCCTGTAAATCAGGCACCTTTGACAGACATTCTCAGTGTCAGGAACAAATCCAGGCTTTGTCATTAAACAGGGCCCTTATTCACGAAAACTTAAACTAAGATACAATCAAAATTTAAAGAAATACTGCAATTCGATTGGCTGATCAGTAAAATCAATTTGCATATATCCAATGAAGTTGCAGTATTTCTTAAAATTTGGGTTGTAACTTAGTTTAAGTTTTCGTGAATAAGGGCCCAGGTTCTCCACAGAGAGAAGTCCATTCCATAAAGTTGTGGGTGGGGGTGAAGGGTAGATTGCTGAATGATTACCGCGTGCGCGTTGTATTATAAGGTTTGTCACTGAGTCAACTGGCTTGGTTTCGATTCCATGGTTGTACGTGACAAGAAGTAGGGTCGCCTGTCCAACCTCGTGGATTTTCTCTGGGTCCTCAAGTTTCTTCCCACTGCTAAAGACCTCTATGCACAAGCGATTATTGAAATAAAATTGAACCATATGTTTGTCCCAAAATAACTTATTTTCTTTTGAGTGGATGTTAAACACTATTTCTCTTTAATCATATTTTTTTTTTTTTTTTTGTTTTAGATGAAACAACAGAAAGCCCACCCTCAAGCCCTGATGGTGAAGACCCAAATGTGATTGGAAAGATCAAGGTGAAAGTGAAAGTTAACGAGAAGGTATCCAAGCCAGTTAAGTCCATTCTGAAGACTGGGAAATTTGGAGAGGAACCCAAAAATACAAATGGAAATAAATCATCAGCTTCATCATCAAAAACAGATCCTGGTAAGCCTCCAGCCAGCCCATCATCTCAAAACAACAACAAAAATCCAGCCACTTCAACCAAGAAAATTGAAACAAAAAGTAGTACAAATCGAACAGAATCCAAGAAAACAACCACAACCACCACCACTACAGCAACAACCACAAAAACAACTACAAGAACTACTAAATTAAATGGTGCAATACCAACAAACACAGACAATGGGAAGACTGTTATTAAAACCACCCAACCCTCAACAACAGTGTCTGAGAAAACAGAAACCAAAACAACAAATTCGACCATTGCCGATTCAAAAATTCTTAAAACCTCTGAATCCAAAACAGCCACAAATGGGTCAAAGTTGAAGTCGACCACAACAACAAATAGTTCCACTACTACAACCACCAGTAAGAGCAATACTCGATCTTTAACAGCTCACAGAATAGAAGAGTCAAAGCAATCATTGACGAAACCACAAGGTAAAACAGACGGTCATCAAGAAACAAAAACGGCATCTACAGTCACAAACACAGTACAAACTACCCAGAATAATTTACCCAAGAATGGAAAGTCTGAAGAAAATAACAATACTGAAAACAAAACATTGACAGATAAAGTAAATCTGAATAATCGAGAACCATCACCCAAGGAAGAAAATGGCAAAAAATCTGTGTCAAGCAAAACTCAGAGCCTTCAGGAGAAGTTGATCAAGCAAACAACAAAGACTAGCAACTCCTCTAGCAAAAAGATTTCTACAGGGTCCCTGTCCCTTGGTGTTTCGAAACTTTCTGAAAAGTTAACGGGCAGTTCTCCAGTACGAGAAATCTCTCTGTCACCCAAAGTCAGCCCAACTAAAGAAGTTCGTAAAGATGAGAATAATGGATCTACTGTTCAAAAATCCAAAATTGAACCAACTACTCAGGCAGGAACACCGAATACCACTTCTTCAGTAACCTCCAAAACAATGAAATCTGAGAAAATTGAGTCATCATTATCCCAGAAGATAACTTCTACGGTATCAACGGTGACTACAAAACCAGGTCAGCTGAACCTTACATCGAATACTTCTTCTGGTTCTACTGCAAATACATCTACAACTGCTTCAAAAGACTCAAAAACGTCTCCAGCTTCAAAAATAAACACAATCAATGCCACAGGGGCGCCTGTCCAAACAAATGACTCTCAAAATGGATATAAGGCCGATACCCCTGCTGCCCCAACTTCAACAACAGCATTAAAGGATTCTAAAACAAAACAAACACAACAACAAACATCCAGTACTAAACTAACAAAACAATCTCAATTGCAGCAAACAGTACAAAAGACTGTTGTGCCTGACAAAACTACAACAACAAGCGAGACTAAACAAACTCCTGTAGCACCAACGAGTCTGAAAATATCGCCACATGGTACAAATACAAAAACATCACCAACATCCAATGCTATACCCAATCAAAAGCTCCCACAGCCAGAGACTACAACCTCAACAACAGCCTCATCCTTAAAAGCAGCTTCTCCTGTTACTGCAAAAGCATCACCAACAGCTGATGTTGCTCCAAATCAGAAGCTAGCATCTCCAGTTACTGCAAAAGCTCCTGCATTGCTCACAGCATCAATATCTAATGATAGCCAAAAACAAGTTCTTTCGCCAGCTAAATCTCCATCATCACCATCTAGCAAACTACAATCTGCACCGTGTGCCACATCTGCAGCGGTTATTGAGAGTCCTGTGTCTCCAAAGATTATACCAGTACACAATATGGCACTTCCAGGAAAATCAGAGCCAGAATCAACAGGACCCAAATATAAGGTTTCAACTGTTATTAAAACAACACAGCAAAGCCCTGTTCCGGCAAGTGTCTCAGGTGTCACGAGTCCTGCAGCAAGTACATCCCAAGTAGTAACTAATACCAATGTACCACGGTCTGCAAGTCCACGAATAGAAAGGCAACAATCTGTAGAATTAACAGTTGTTAATAAATTGGTCATTGACCCGAGAAATACACAACCATCGGGTTCCCCTAGAAGACGAGATCAAAGTCCAGTAACCATTCACAGAGTTCGCTCCAGAGACGTTTCTCCTGATACAAGAGTCAGACCCAGAGAGAGGGGCAAAAGTCCAATCATGCAGCTTCTTCCCACAGATCCAAGCCCTAAATCTCCTAAGAAGCAAGAATTGGGAACACCTTCCCCAGTCAGATATTTACCTATTATCTCTGTGAAAAGTAGACCATCTGAAAAGGTAATCGTTCAGCAACCCATCCCATCTTCAGTAATTGATCTAAGAGGTTTAGGACCGGCTAAAACTGCTGTGCCACCAGATGATTCTGTAGTTTTAATAAAACAAGCTGTCAGTTCCCAACCGGTAGAATTCCATAAACCATTTGGTTCTGGAAAGGACCCAATGCAAGGCATGAAACAAACGTTTAGTGAGCAGAAAATACAGTCGCATGTGGACGAAAGTCACAGCCATGACCCAAAAGTTGGAATTAAAAGGTCCATTAGTACAGAAAAACTACATATGATTGAGACAAACACTGATGTAGTAACAAGTGATAAGAGTGGACCCTTGGGAGCTAGATCTGAAATAATTGGTACAGATGTTACCAGAACTCATCTGGTTACGGAACAACCTGCTATTCCGTCTCAGAAAGTTCAACCTGGTCAAATACCAGTCAGTGCAACTCAGAGGGAGATTTTGACAAAAGAGAACGTGAAACAGTCTGTTATGGAAGTCGGTAAACCAAACTTTCCAAAGGGTACCATAATGGTCGATAAACCAGGCTCTCATGCCATGATTTCTACAAATACCATAGCTCTAGATCCATCGCCCTCTGGTAGAAGTAGAAGTAACTCAGAGTCGTTTGCCTCACGATACAGTTCTTCGGGATCCAACAGTCCATTGGGCTCTCCTTCATCATTGGTTGCGTCCAGGAATTCATCCAGAAGTCCATCGCCAGTCAGAAGAAGCCCGTTGGACTATGTTCAAAGTCAGTCCATACACCATGCTGAACCACCAAAGCAATCCAGGGCTAAAACATCCCTGTCTTTAAACTTCAACCAAGTGGACACAGATCGGACACCTTACACACCTTTCAGTCCTGTCAATACAACTCAGAGCCTTTTAAATTTATCGGGCGGTAACGATTGGAATAGAAGACAGCCACCTGCACCCCCGAAGAGATCTAGTTCTGTGGAACGAATGATGACACAGTACTCATCTTGTCCAACATCCCCTATAGGTGAGAGTCCCCAGGACCGACGGAAGACATCCATGTCATTCACACCTTTCTTTGCTCGGTCTTCTGTTAGAGGCCCAGTAAATATTAATCAATACTTAGATCAAGGAGTCCGAGCTCAAGTAGATCGTTCTCGGCGCTGCCAATCTGTTGATAGACTCCCCTCTACCTATTATCCATCTCAAGGGTCCTCTCCTGCACAACAGCAGATGGTTTATCACGCTCAACCTCAGTACTACAATCCACCATCATTACATAGAAGTGTGTCAGTTGATGTCGTTCCTAGTTTATTTGAGACAAATCAAAGTTCCCCCTCATACAGAGAAATACCCGTCGAGCACCAAATGTCACCAGACGGCGCAGCTACTCTGCCCCGAAGAAGAAGACGCCGAAACTCTGTGGAACTTATGACCAAGATGTTTGATTCTGGAATACCACTGCCACGGGATGACGAGCAAACAGCAAAAGATATCGACGCTGCCCTGCAATATCCAGACATGGGTCAAAAGCTTCTAACACAGATACAGTCTCTTGGAAATGAAAATCACCAATTTGAGGAGGGGTCTGCCACTTTGCCCAGAGGAAAGGATTCCAGGGGTCCAAGGCTCAAACGGAGGAATTCTGTTGAACATATTGCCAAATTATTTGATCAAGGTATTCCTGTGATTCCGAAAGATGATGATTCGATCATTACTCCATTTTCTGCCCAAGGGGGATCAACAGTTCAGGCACCTGTTAATGTGGTTCGCCCCTTTAAAGATAATAGAAATGGAAATCAAACTAGAAATATCCCCCCAGATCAACAGCAGCAAAACGTAGCGCACCTGCAACATCCACTGTCTTCCAGATTATCAGCTTCTCAACCTCATATAGCATCAAACAATAGCAACCCAGTGAAACTAAAACCACGCAGTTTACGAAGTATTCAAACTTCGGTCACAAATCCTCCTGGTCAGCAAGCAGGTAGATCCAGAGCGGCTGCCTGTTCCCTCAACCTCAGGAATATCCCAGCAAAATCGGCCTCCCCTGAACCGCAATCCGTTTCCCAAAAGCCAGTACTTCGTAGATCAATGAGCGAAATTAGACGGCCCTCTAGTGGCAAAAATCAGCAACAAGCTTCGCGGAGCAACAACGGAGAAGAAGATGAAAAATCCTACAAAAGACTGTCAGTTGGGGAAGCAGCACGTCTGTTTGACCAGATAACAGTGAAAGAACCCGTCGCCCCGCGTCGCAGTGGTGGGCTGAACATTGCTGGGAAAGCTCAGAAGTTTTTAGCTAAATTTAAGTGATATTGCTTGCTGCTATAAGGTAAGTCATCACTTTGTATACCATTATTTGTATATTCTCACCTCTGTTCCGCCCGGGGGGGGGGGGGTGTTGGATGGTTAGCACGTGCGTGCTGTATCATACGGCCTGTCAATGAGTCAACTGGTGTGGTTTCGAATCCCCGGTTGTACGTGACAAGGAGTAGGGTCGCCTGTCCATCCTCGTGGGTTTTCTCCGGGTCCTCCGGTTTCCTCCCACTGCTAAATACCCCTACGCGCAAGCGAATTAATGAAATAAAATTAACCATGTTAGTCCCGAAATGACCTAGTTTGTGTCGAGTGGACGTTAAACCCCATTTCTCGCTCTCGCTCTCTCTCTCTCTGTTTCGCCATCCGCCTTCTTGACTTGACTTAGGCTATAATACAAGACCTTTTCAGTACAGTGAAGAGTGAGGCAAATATCGATAATGTACTATTTTGTGAAAATGAAATTAGCATATTTTGGTGTAAACATCCCACTTGTAACAAACTGCTCTAAGGGATACAGAAATACAACAGTTTTCTCGAGTTCGGGGATAGAAAAACTCTCAATCTGGTTAAAACACAGATCCTATTTCGTTTCGTTTTTATAGTTCAAAATTTCGTTTTACTTGTCTTTACTACACTTGGATCCGGAAGAGTTGTTATTTAACTCGTGTTCTAAATGGTGTCAGGGATAAGCCAATGAAATGGTCTGTCACGGCGAGCTTTAGGCGTGTTTTGCACGGAACTGTGGGTAATCCACTAGTAACATCAATGCTGATTGGTTAATCAAATGTCTGACATCATAGGGTCATAAGTCGGTCTTTTGACCCCTGACGTGACCTATCGCTATATCTTGTCAGATCTTCATATAGTGTAGGCCATCGAAAGTATAAAAAAACGAAACGAAATATAGATCTTTATTTTAATAAGATTGAAAAACTCTGAAACCCTTCTATGCTCCAGAATACTTAAACATGCTTTATGCAAGAGGTAAATCTGCCTATCGCCTTAAATGTTATATAAACTATTAAATAGACATTTATTAACATGAAAAAAGAATAATCAACTCTCGGTGCCATCTTACGTGTCTGATTTTACAGTGATTTTAAAACAAGGTTTTCTTGGCTTAGAGTGTAGCAGTTTGAGTGAAATTTTCAGCAAATTCCCTTTACATTATCTAGTTTTTAACTATTATAGTGAGAACTGCCAGCTCTTTATCTAATATACCATAATGTATATGTAATAAATAGCCTTAGCTGCTATAACGATTCTTTATATATTGTCACCTTGGTTAATTCATTCTTCTTGTCTTGACTTAGACAATAATAATATAGACCATATTATTATATTGATTATATATTTTGTTACAAAAGCCTGTATTAATTGAACTGGAATATACAGTTCACAATGTATTAATTGAACTGGAATATACAGTTCACAATTCTATGGAGTAAAATTACTGCTTATTACTGAGCGACGTTTCGACTAGGCTTCTCTAGTCGTTATCAGGCATTGATAAATATGAAAATATAACAAGACAATATATACATGTACACAACAATACTTGGTTCATGCTGACCAACTAGAGTAGTAGTAATATGAAATATAACAAGACAATATATACATTTAAATAACAACACTTGGTTAATGCTGACCATCCAGAGTATTAAGTAGTAATATGAAATATAACAAGACAATATATACATTTAAATAACAATACTTGGTTAATGCTGACCATCCAGGGTAATAAACAGGTATTCCATAGAATTCTGACCTGTATATGATTATAATATTATCGTCTGGGGACTGCTATCTGAAAAAGTTTTCAAGGTGGCAACTCCACTTAATGGCAGTTGTCTTCAAAACTATTGTATTGTCACTTTCGATAACTTTCAGTTGCAGGAGTGTAGAAACTGATATATTCCTCCAGGGGTTAAGTGAAAGGGACGCAGTGACGCGCTTTGCGTCATGGTTTGGGGTTTTTGCGCACCTTTGAGTTTTTGTACCCCCTTGCAAATGGCAAAACATCAAGCGGTTTCAATGCGGTTTTTAACATTATATATAATCATAATCATAATGCTTAACCAGTGTCAAACATATACCGTGTACCGTGGATCAGATATGCTACAAATCGACTCAAGCATGTTCCACACAGCCCAGTATTACCAGGCACTAGGGAGGGCCCCCTCCCCCACATTTAAATATTGTTTTTTGGGGGACAGGGACGGGATCGCGCTCCTAATGCAAAACCATGGGTCACCACGCCCCTGCCGAGTACGATTGGATCATATGTTCGTTGGTGATATCGTAGACATGGGTCACCTACCTGTTCAAATTATTTATTGATTGAAATGTACAGGGTCAAAGGCGCACTGCCATTTAAATATCTTACTTATTATAAAACTTCAAATTAAATGGGGGGTTGTGATGGCCGCGTGGTCTAGAGTATCGCGCTTCGAGCTCTAGCTGGCCGGTCACCTCTGACTTGCAGTCGTGGTTTTGATCCCTGGTGTTTGCGTATGTGGCTTGGAGATAGTTGCGCCTTCTCAACCCCGTGGGTTCACTCCGGGCATTTAGACAACTTGTCTGCGATATCGCCATCGTTAGAACGTGCGTTAAACACTAAGAACAACAACTGATCTTCGATCACGATTTTGGATAGTCCCCTAGTAACGCCTACACTTTTCCACTTGCCCATTTGTCGTCTAAGTGCACAATCAGTTGCGGAGCCATCATTTGCAGCAGGAGGGGTCCAGAAATTGCAGATCTCTATATTGAACTGACTGACAATGGCGGCTACGTTTAAACTTGAGATTTATCAAAGAGTTTGAAGTATCTCGAGAGATATATAAGGTTTTTTGACACCAGATATATTTCCCCGGTTTGGATATATTTTAATTGATTGTTGTGTATTATTTATTTTTTTTTAATGTGGTGCCGTTTTTGTATTTCAGTTTGCAACATAAGACGAGAGATCCTGCTTTTTATTGTCATCACCTTACGGCCCGCTCAGGCTAACAAGAATTTCGCTACTTTCGATTTTTGTTGGTTTTGTTTTGTCATCAGTTGCTGTATATTATGTCATAGTTTCTTTGGCTGACGTCATTGTATCAGCATCATTCACGTCTCTCTGTTGTCCCAGATTGCAATTATTCACTTTTCGTCTGTTACTCAGTTCTGGCAATTGAGGAACATGTGTCGGAAACTTTATTTTTGGGAGAATAAATTCTGTGTAAGAAAACCATATCGTCTAATCCTTAAAATTGGCACACCGCACTTCAATGATGTGATCATGTTGCTGTGAGTGAGCTGGCTAGATTCAGTGTTAAGACTGTTGAATTTACATATGCCCAAAATGGCGCCACGGGGATCTGTCCGGAAGGAATTGCTGCTACAGGTAGGCGGCCAACTCCTTTACAGCTACAAACACACAAATATTCGAATTTTAAAGAGCAAATTCCTACATATTTATTCCCCGACAGAGGTCGCCCTACATGTAAAATAGAAAAGTAGCATATTTTTTTGTTTGATATATGGTATCGTAGACAACAAAATCTAGATACATTATTTAAGGTGATAGCTTGTGTGACATATTTATTAAGCTTATTTATAAAGTTTTGTACATATTTTGTAATAATGATATTTTTGAGTGAGACGTAAGTGCCTATAGTCTTTCATAGCGGCATGATAATAGCTTGTATATTTAATTATTTATTGCAAACTGTCTTAATTACGAGTTATCTCCCCTTAGAATTTTAAAGGCGTTGATATTGTAGTCAAGAAGTTAATAAGAATAATCATTCTCCACACAAGTCTCGCGGTGTGGACTGCAAGGGAAGACAACTCTGTTTGAGAGATGGAAGAATAATATGTGTTAGGCCCTATATATAAGAATTTGCGCATTAACTGATGGCATGACAATCGAGTTTGCTCTCTTACATACACAAGCATTAAAATAAAGATTCTTACCACTGCTTGACTATATATACTACAACAAGTTTTATTTTAATCCCTGCAAGTGCCTGTGCATACATGCGTATTCATGATATTGGGAATAAATGGGGAGATAACTCAAATGGACTCAAGCATCTTTATTTCTCTATTTAAGTAAATGGAACTTTGAAGAGTACGAATCTAAACAGATAATTGTAAAAATATCAGATTTAGATAGGTCTGTATTATATGATAACAAATAGAGATGTATTAGCTTTTTAAAAAAAAGGTTCGACTACGTCTAGAACAATTACACCGTGGTTTCATTATATACATTGTTCTGCGACCTTCAGTACCAGGGTTATGCCCCTTTTGTCGTGGTTTCCAGCAAGCCTCGCCAAGTTGCCGTCATCAACGAATGATTACGGTCAAAAAGAAAATGTCGATAGGAAGAGAGTAGGGGGGGGGGATGAACCCCGTCTATTTCCAATGAGAATCGTTAAGTTGCGGTCATCATCAGATGATTCCGGTAACAAACGAACTGCCCACAGGAACAGAAAAGCGGGAAGCGAGGCAAGAAGGCGAATGGCGGTTAGACCCCATCTGTTGGTAAAACCACTGGGTAAGAATATGATTGAGTTTCTTAACATTACTGCATTTTCCTTCGGTTTGAAAAATATTAATATACTCTATAATGTTATCATCATTAAATAGTAAGTTATGTATAAAGTATATTTTGTGTCATAAATAGTAAGTTATGTATAAAGTATATTTTGTGTCTTTGTAAATAGAATTATATTTAAAAGAATTTCTTCACGCAAGGGAAGACAACCCTATAATTGCACTATATTCTGTTAAGTTTGTGCAAATTCGCTCTCAGGCCACATAAATTTAATTCTTAGTTTTTTTGGGTACATGATCCATAAATAACCCAGTCAATTCCCGTGTACGAGCTTCTCCTTTAGATGAAATTCACCTTGGGCACTTCCCTGCAAAGACATTATGTCTTACCCAAAAAAGCTGGATCAAGCCTATTTTCTGGCTTCCTCTGACAAGTTTCTTAGGAAACACTTGTCTACGATATCACCCTAGTTGGTAGTGGACGTACAACTCCAGGAACGAACAAACGCACCTGTACTATGTTTTCTTAACATACATATTTGGAACTAAAAACTTTTGAGACGAACAACTAAGTGGTTGTTTTTTTAAATTAGTACTAATCCTGAAGGAATTTTATAGCTAAAACCTTGATAGGTATTACCGAAGAACTGGCCCCGAGTTCACAAAACATTCTCAGACTTCAGTTAAAAATTTACTCTACTATCAATCACTTTTTGGATTTAATCATCAATGAGATTTCAGCAGCAGATCGGATTCATATCCCGTGACAATCCGACACATAAGATGGCATCGCGAGTTGATTAAGGTCTTTTCATGTTAATAAATTATGCCTAATTAATAGTTTTATATAACATTTCAGGCCTAAAGAAAGGCCTGCAATAGGCAGATTTGGCTCTTGCATAATGTATGTTTAAGTCTGAGAATGTTTTGTGAAACTGGGGCTAGATATTCAAATTGTTGTGGCCTAAGATTAAATTATGAAAATGTTTTTTTGTTTTGTTACATGCTTGTAAATATATTAATTAAAATAACGGGTCTGCTGTTTGTCTACTGGCAAGCAACGTTTAATTTTGATTGGTTCGTAGAATCAACCTACGATCAAGGGCTGTTAATTTGAATTCTTTAAAATCCCCATGGATAAACCTAGGGTATAGTGGAGTATAATGGAACGACACCGCTGGAGATACCGAGGATGGTGCACACCTTGAAAAATATGTTGTATCTGGATCCCCGCGTCGAAAGACTCTCGGACCCTGTCAAATTCTAAGGAGAACTGCACCCATTGCAGATTCTTTACATTTTATTAATTATTTAATATTAAAGTAGTTTCAAAAGTACGCAACCCCAAATCAAAATCATTTCGACTGTAATGAACAAATCAAAGCGCCGACTGCGCCACCGTCAGTGTAAATGTTAGTCACAATTTGTCACCAAACCAATTCGCTCGTTCTAGATTCGTTATTTTAACAACAGGTGACAATTCTATAGAATACAGTTACTGTTTATTACTGAGCGACATTTCGACTAGGCTTCTATAGTCGTTATATCAATCAATCCTCGGCAACAATCAGTGCCGGACTGGTGTGCCGAAGGCCCACCTGTCAGGTCATTGACCAAGGCCCACACAAGTATCCTGTCCTCTCCTTCGTTCTTTCTTTTTTGTCCTCCCCCTCTCCTTTCTTCTCTTTTCTTCTTTTTTCTTTATGGGCTTAGGTCCACTTTTTTTAATGAGCTTCGGCCCACCTGTCACGGACAGGTGGACAGGTGGGCCCAGTCCGGCACTGGCAACAATCATGTGCCCGAATCCTGTTTACATCTCGTGACCTTGACGGAATCTGCTGGTGGCCTTAATATTTAGATCTGACCTACGGAGGATGGTCTTTATCAAGCAAATGTTCTCTTGATTTGTATTTCTGGTTGTGCAATTTTGAACCTATCTTAATAATAGATAATAAATAAAATAAACAAAAATGACAATGGCAATCGTCCAATATATAGCCTACTGCTACACTTGTCAGAGGACAATTTTCTTGTTTTTAGTGCGTACAGTAAAAATATAATCATCACGCCGGATGGATCGAAACAAATTTGATCAATTTGTAGATTAGGAGTTGAGTGCAGTTAAATTAATTACCGTTGTTATTTCTATCAATATATTTTTTTATGATTCTCTGATCTCTTTTGCTACAAACTGGCTTTACGTTAAAACATCCGGTAAACCTCGGCAGATTCCTTTACTCTACATCTAGCCTAGGCTGTATGACGGTAAATGATATGTACTTACGCCTATGCAATTGCGTCGTTCGAAGCGTGTGTAGAATTTTCAGTGCAAAGTTTTCCTTGTTTGAAGAAAATCCGATAAACTTTAAAGAAAAATAGCTCCAGACTTTGAAATATTTGTATGATAAAACATTCTTTAAAGGTGTCGTCATGGGCAACACCGTTGGTAACCCAGGCACTTGAAAGTAGTTCCAATGGCAGACTTCGTCATACAGCCGAGGCTAGATGTAGGGTACTGGAGTCGGCTGAGGTTTGCCGAGTGACGTTAAAAGGGACATTTTGTTTAGAATGTTAAATAGGAAATGCCGTTACGTTACCAATTGTTTTCTTTTTGAAGCACATGGTTCGACAATGCCATGTGGCTCTTTGTATTTTCCTTCTCGAAACGACGTGACAAGGAGTAGGGTCGGATGTCCATACCTCGTGGGTTTTCTCCGGGTCCTCCGGTTGTTTCCTCCCACTGTTAAAGACCCTACGCGCAAACGAATTATTGAAATAAAAAATTAAACCATTGTTAGTCCCGAAATGACCTAGCTTGTGTCGGGTGGATTTTAAACCCCATCTCTCTCTCTCTCTCTCTCTCTCTCTCTCTCTCATCCAATAGTATCGTTCATTGTGCAGAATTATGGCTTATGCAATATCAGTCGGATTGAAGTTAGATTTGTTTTCAATTCGTTTTTCGTTTTCTTTCGGATTATATTAGTTTGAACCATAAAGATGAAACGATAGCTTCGATAATATGCATACAACATACATTCTGGTAGAGCCGCATTTATCCATGGGCATAGAAAGGCCATTGGCTATCTGGTGAATAAAAATTTGGCCTGAAACATGCCAACATTTAAATAATTTACGGGCCCAATGTTGTGTTTGGCCTAGGGCCCCCAAGTAAAGTTATCTGTCCCTGCAGACAGTTGGACTTCGTCAAAGGTATCATGAACCCTTCTGTAATGCCGTCTATATAACCAGATTACCTGATATTTAAAGACCTTTAAAAGCATGATTCCATCCACAGAAATTGTTAACTTCATTGCTTTGATGCCTCTGGTATGGGCCAAAATTTGTGTGGGCCTTATCGCAAGGTATGAAGCAATAATATCATTTGTAATTTTCGCAAGTTTTATAGGTGAAATGTCTCTTTAATGTCTGCTATATTATTATTATTGTAATATTACATGCCTTTGTCATTGTTACTTTTTTTTATTTCGTTTTTTTTCTTCTATCGTTTTGTAAATAAAACATAATGGGGCTATTTAATCCGGGTTTCTGTTTTATTTTATAAATTAATGTATGAGCCACTGCCGTATAAAGCAGCAAACGTGAAAGATCCCTTGGCAGTTCGAATTCGATGTAAGAGTAGGCCATAGCGCCGCTGCCCTGGCAAATTCCTTATACCCTAAGGATGATCCCTATTGTTTTTGGTGAATGCCCGCCCCCCTCCCCAGGGACAGAGCCACGCCCATATTTTCTTTGTGTGTCTGTGTGTTGCCTACAGGTCACAATTAGTAATGGGTCGTCTTGGAACATGGCATATATATTCCTTATAGCCTAAGGCAGGCAGCTATTGATTTTAGTGCATGTCCCGACCCATAGGGGCAGAGCTTGCTCCCCCCCCCCTTGGGCAGTGCCACACTCACTTTTACTTTTTTTTTGTTAATATTCTGTCTGTAAATGATATATGGGCTGCAATTATTAACAGATAGGGTTGTACCTATTGACATTGGTCCATGTCCATGTGTTTTTTTTTACTGACTGGAATTCAGACTGGGTCATCTTGGAAAAAGGCATATTTATTCCTGTAAGGATAGCAACTATTTATTTTCAGACCCCCAGGGGTGTGGTACCACACCCACTTTTTTGTCTGTAAGTACTCTACAGGTCTCTATAATTAACAGATTTTGTTCAAATTTATTTGGGTGCATGCCCCTCCCCCTGGGACGGTGTTACACCCACGTTTTTGTTAATATTTAGTCTCTAAATTTGGCAAAACAAACTCAACGCCTAGCCTTCTTTGCCTCTTGTCATAACAGCCATTTCATATTTCAATGAAAGCAGGAATGTGGACGTATATTTCACCGTTAGCGATGCTCTAGTTTTGTTAACGATAAAGTTTGCTGTCGGCAAGGGAAGTATAATAATAATAATAATAATAAAAACTTTATTTAATGAGGCAACATATTTAGTTTGCAAAAAAAAAAACTAATCTTCCATAGGTCCCTCCTAAACTACAAAGACATATATACATGTAATATCAGGATAAATTTAAAATCATTAGAAATGCAATAGCATTTTAAAGTGGGAAGTTTGATAAGTCACTCCCAAACTACAAAACATATACATTATACAAGTAGAATATAGGAAGAACACTATAATTACACACAAAATAAAATAGAATGCAGTTGCAAGTTAAAAATAATAAGTATGTCATCAGTTGAATATTATGGTTCCTACAGTGTGCAAAATAGATGAGTTTTCAGTTTAATCTTAAAATTTTCAACATTTTTACACATCTTTATGTCAAAAGGCAGATTGTTCCATAAAAGACATGCAGAATAATGAAAAGTACGTTTCATGGATTCCGTTTTGCATTTTTGAAGAAAAAGAGATTTACTGGTCTGTGAACGGAGCAAGATATCCGTTTTGGAAACAAGAGATTTTTCAATAAAATGGAAATTTAGATAAAGTGGAGTATTAAATGTAATAATTTTGAATGATAAGACAATTTTATTGTAAAGAATCCTCTGTGTAAGGGTAAGCCAACCGAGTTTAGTAAATAAAGTGGTGGACGGAGTTTCAATCGGTGCATCAAGAATAGCTCTTGCTGCCCTCTTTTGTAATTTTAAAAGAATGTCTAATCTACTTTTGGTAGCATTTCCCCAAATAATAGAGCAATAATCAAATATTGGTAGTATGTAACTGTTATAAAACAAAATTCTTGTCTCGTAAGGTAAATGATCTTTTATCTTATTTAGGAGAAATATTTTTGATGCAAGTTTTTTAGACATATCTGCTATCTGTGCTTCCCAATTAAGGTCTTGGTCAATTTGAATTCCAAGTAATTTTGCGGTAGTAACCGTCTCAATTTTCTCACCATGGAGAGATAAAGTTAGGTTTTTCTGATTTCTTTTGTGTTTTGTTGAAATCAGCATTGATTTTGTTTTCGAAGGATTGATTACCATCCCATTGTTTTCACACCATTCAGCAACCAAATAGAGATCATTTTGGAGATTTTTGGCGATGGATAAAATATCTTTGTGTGAACAATGCAGGGTACTGTCATCAGCAAACAAATCTATCTGACTTGATTCAATATTGAGTGGGAGATCATTTATAAAAATTAGGAATAGGAGAGGACCCAGGATCGAACCTTGTGGAACCCCGCATTTGACTGTAGTAATTGAGGAGGTAATTGATCCTAAACATACTTTTTGCTTCCGTGAGTCAAGATATGATTCAATCAAAATTTGTGAATTATTATCAAATCGATAAAGATGTAGTTTTTCAATAATAAGCTTATGATCAATGAGATCTGTAAATTTAGCAAAAAATACAATTTTGACAGTTCGGTACCACTTGTAGAAAGCAAATATTATTTTTTTTTCAAATCTGATATAACTGAAAGGGCGTGCCCCGTAAAGGCGCACAAAACATCGGGCTCGGTTGTTTATTTTTAATTTCTTTTTCGTTTTCGGTCATTCGGCAAACCTCGGCTGATTCCGTTACTCTCTATCTAGCCTCGGCTGTAATGACGGTAAGTGATATGTACCTAGGCCTATACAATTGCGAGGCGGGACCGGTTTACTTATTAGGAAAACTTGCCGCTTTTAAAAAGAAGTTATCAAAATTGCGTCATTCGATGCGTGTGTAGAATTTTCAGTGCAAAGTTGTTCATGTTTGAAAAAAATCGGATAAACTTAAAAGAAAAACAGCTTCAGACTTTGAAATATTTGCATGCTAAATCATTCTACAAAGGCGTCGCCATGGGCAGCGCCATTGGTAATCCGGGAACTTGAAAGTAGTTCCAATGGCGGACTTCGTCATACAGCCGAGGCTAGATATAGGGTACTGGAATCTGCTGAGGTTTGCCGAGTGTTTTATCGGTAAGTTAGTAACTAATTTTGTTACCATCACTATTTGACAAATGTAACACATGGTGACAAGTGTATAAATGGAATTGATATAGCTAGATTTGGTTGATTCTGCTTCCGTTTTAAAACACATGCGCAATGCTTTTGTGGAAATCTATTTAATGGTTTCATTGGCACCGGAAGTAAAGTAAATTCAATGGTAACACGGCACCGGTGAAAGCCGTCATTACTGCGTCGTAAGTATTTCCAATGGTTCTTTAAACACTTGTTCAAGTGGTGGTATGAAGATGGGTGGCCCTAAGGTGGGAAATGGGTTGTGCAAGTGTAGTCCAGTATCTATCAATGATGGCTTGAAGGTGATGGTTGGCAAGGTGAATGGTGTGTATTTCAATGGTTCTTTAAACACTTGTGGTGGTATGAAGATGGGTGGCCCTAAGGTGGGAAATGGGTTGTGCAAGTGTAGTCCAGTATCTATCAATGATGGCTTGAAGGTGATGGTTGGCAAGGTGAATGGTGTGTATTTCAATGGTTCTTTAAACACTTGTGGTGGTATGAAGATGGGTGGCCCTAAGGTGGGAAATGGGTTGTGCAAGTGTAGTCCAGTATCTATCAATGATGGCTTGAAGGTGATGGTTGGCAAGGTGAATGGTGTGTATTTCAATGGTTCTTTAAACACTTGTTCAAGTGGTGGTATGAAGATGGGTGGCCCTAAGGTGGGAAATGGGTTGTGCAAGTGTAGTCCAGTATCTATCAATGATGGCTTGAAGGTGGTGGTTGGCAAGGTGATTAATCCATAATCTTTCAATGCAGTTCCAAAATCGGTAATGTTCTACAAGACAAAAATAAAATTGTAGCAAGGTTTAGTCTCGAATGTATCCAATTCTGTGTGTTCAAATAGTTAACAAATTTTTACAGCAACTTTTCTATGGGCTGTAATATTGAAAATAGCCCGGTCGGTTCCGAAAAGTAAGACTTTAAACCTCCTTAATCCGTTACATATATTGAAGATCCTTTACCTACTTAATTAACATGCATTATATTCACATCTAGAAATATACCAACATTTTAGACCCCTGCCGTATGTAACAACATGTTTGACTGCACTCGAATCCAGACTATAGGTCTGTTTTCACCATATTTCCACAAAGGCATGTCCGCATTTTGATAGATTTGTTACAGAATCTCAAATTATATTTTATTATATAATATCTGATTACCAGTTTGAGGGTATCAATGGTTGGTTTGAAGGTGGAGGCCAATTGTTGTCCGATAGAGGATAAAAGATCACTGATTCCACTTCTTTTGTGTCCCATTAGATGTTGGGCAGCACTTGACAACAATTTAGTTGGTTGTTCTATCAATTGTTTAAGGATGGAGCTCTGCAGAAAGTTGTGGCTTGCTACAAGAGATAAACATTCACAATTAAACATACATAAAGCTAAATCTGTCAATTGCAGGTCTTTCTTTAGACCTGAAATGTTATCTAAATTATTAATTAGACATTCACTAACTTATCCAGACCATAATCAACTCTCGATGGCATCACTAACCTCGGGCCATTAGCCTAGGGGTGGCTACCCCCCCCCCCCACAAAAGAAATCGAATTAGCCCCCCCCCCCAATTTTTCGCCGACAATAATGATTTTTTAGGAGTGTTCAAATTGGTAGGCGACCCGTAGGCTCGTAGCATGGCCCACCGAGGCCTGACTGTCATCATCACCTGATACCATACGTGCGTTGTATATAGCTACTGTGAGGCGTGTTGGTCTACTGTCACTGAACACGTGGACTTGCTCATCACACTCACGTACTCACGGCTCTTCTCGTTTCGCGTACTCCTACCGGCCTAGCATCCGACTCATGTCCATTTGCACTGGCAGATCTGGCGGAACATTTTTGAACGTTTTGAGATTGAGAATTCGATAGCGACGAAGACAAGATGACGGATACATTTGTGATTAGAAAGAGACCATCGTCTTCTGATGACGTGACTACGTCGTCTACCACACCGGCACCAGGATCAGCAGCACCTCATTCCAACGATTCACCGCCTGATGTCCAGTCCAAGACGAAAGTGGCTTGTCCATCTGATCTTGACGATGATGTGCCAGCCGAGTCCCGTGTAGTGAACCCATCGAAAACTACGTTTGGGAAACAGACTCGTTCATTTCAAAGTAAGTGGTACACCGATCGTTCTTGGCTCGACTACTCGGTCCAAAAAGACGCGTGTTTCTGTTGTCCGTGCCGGAAATATCTTTCTAGTAATGAAAAAGATCATGTTTTTACGCATGATGGGTTCAGAAATTGGAAATCGCCACTGACATTGGTAAAGGTTTTGCAAAACATATTGGATCGAAATCCCACATGCATGCTTTGGCAATGTGGACCGGACGTAAGATATACGAGAAAGAGGGGGTGGGGTGCACTTGAATCCTTATGTACCGATCAAATTGAACGCAACCGTTATTATCTCACTAAACAATTTGAGATAATAAAATTTCTGACTATAAATGAGCTACCATTTAGAGGAACTGAAGAGAAAAAAGGCGGACTTCATTCAGGACACTTCTTGAAAATGGTAGAATGCACTACTGACAGATCAGAAATTCGCAGAAATCAGCAAAACTATTCCTGAAAACACAAAATATACATCGCCTCAATTTCAAAATGAGGTCATAAGCATGATGGCAGAGATGGTGAAACTCACTGTAAAGTGCGATGAAACGCGAGACTCGTCTGGGTTAGAGCTGCTCACTGTAGTGATCATTTCGTTGACGGTGAAGGGCTTCCAACAAAAAAACTTTTAGGATTTTTTGAACTGGAGCGATTCGATGCGGAATACATATCTGGCGAAATTCTGCGGGCAATGAAAGATTTGGACTTGATGTTTATACTGGCATAATGCCATGACGGCGCGGCCGTTATGTCCGGGAAACATTCCGGTGTCCAGCGCAGAATAGCGGATGCAGTACAACATGACGTACCATATATGCATTGCTACAATTATCGGCTCCATCTCGTGGTTGTACATGTGTGCGAGAAAGTCGCCATTGTAAAAGAGTTTTTCGATGTCTGCCAACTACTGAACGACTGTTTCGCTAAACCGAAAGTTCGTGTTGAGTATAAAAAATATGGTGGAACGGCACTAGCCCGTTTAATGGAACAGCGCTGGAGTGGCCATTTCAAAACGACGAAGGCCGTCATTGAAAACTCATCCAGATCTGTCGGTTTCTGCAATTGGATTTTAGACCACTACAAACTAGGAACGATTCATATTCGAATGACTGGTCATGTACGAAGTTCTCGGTGCACTGAAGCCAGCGGACAAAATGCTGCAATCCAGGACGTGCTCGATTGTGACAGGGTATCAGATTATCAACGAAACCATACAAAATGTGCGCACAATGAGAACTCATGAGAAATTCGTTGAACTCGTCGAAAAATGTGGGCATAAATTGGACAGCACATACGATGCGGTAAGCCCCAAAACATTTGGAGTCCTTCGTCGTAATAGGTCCTACCGGCCGAGAAAAGCAGCCACTCATTTCTGTTTATTATCAACTGCTGGATTCACTCACAAACGAGTTTGAAAGGCATTTTTCCGAGAGCAACACTAAGTTAGTTCAGTCGGTATGTGCGCTGTTGCCGTGCTCCGAGAATTTCCTTGACCTCGGTCAGTTGTACGCACTCTGCCTATTGATCAGAAGCTTTGATCAATCACTTCTGCGTCATGAAGTGGAGTTTGTAAAGGCAATGGTGGCGAAATCAATGCCAGATGAAAACCAGGAAAGTCGAAACAATATCGGCAAGTTTCTTGAATGGTTCCGTGAGATGAACTTCCAAACACCATTCCCCAGTGTACATACTCTTCTATGTGCCGCACTGACAATTGGTGCATCTTCTGCCACATGCGAGGCCACTTTCTCGACTGTTGACACCATACAGGAGGTGTATGGGCCACAGTCGAAAATGCGACCTCGCCTACTTGGCATTTGAGAAAGATGGCACAGCATCTCTGTCAACAACAGATTTAATGGAAGAGTTCAGGCGAACAAATCGGCGACTATTGGTTTAAAGGCGTAACGCGCGGTACCGCGGCACGCCAGACTAATCGGCTGATAATCTGCAGGAGTTGGCGGCGAGCAAGCCCGTGGAGTCACTTCACCATTCGCCAGGCAGCTATAGTGCCTAACTGCGTCACTGGCGAGACAAAATGCAATTGGCGATGACTGGTGATCTAAACAATAGGTCTCACGCTGTTTTCGCTTGCTATTTGCTGGTTTATTAGACTCCTAGTTATACAAAATGTGTTACTATGCCTTTTGTCGGTACCCCGGCTGGTCTGTCCACATAATTTTCAAGCTGTCAAAGTATATTTTAGTCATCTAGGAGATGTAAAGGCGCGGCAAGCCTGCAACAGATTAGACTGTCAAGTTATTATACGGTCCACAAACAAACATCTCACCTCCTGAAGCCGAGAAACTAATTGGGACCAGACTCGGACATTTCTGAAAACTATATATGATCATCGGATCAGTAAAGTTGTAGCGAGGTTTAGGCAGGAAAAGAGCATCTAAAATCTGGCAGTCTTACCGTCACTGCGGTCGACAATTCGAGCGCTCCTGCCTCCGAGAAACCCAGTGTTACTGCAATCCACCCCATTGTTTTAAATTCATGTCTTCTATTTTGGATTATCGCTTACATCCGGATATCGTAATTGGATTATATACTTGAAGATTATTATATTCAATAAATGATTGTGTAAGGATAATCAAGAAATCCGCGAATAAGGTAAGCCGCTGTGCTGATGATATCTGAATGAGCCGCGCCAGCATGAGTCGCTTTGTTTTGTTCACGCGCGTTGCAACGATACCAAGTGTCCGTCTGTGTCAATCATTCATTCAGGCAAATTTCAAACTGCACGGGTTATTAGGAAGGGGTTTACTGGATTAGAACCCGATCTGCTGCTTCTGATTAAATCAAAATATGGATAATCGAGACTATGTTTTTTATCGTACCGACTTCCGTAATGATGATTGAGGCTAGGCCTAAAATTCAATCGCTAATTACAAAAATGGATAATCGAGACTATGTTTTAATGCGTACCGACTTTAGTAATGATGATCGAGGCTAGGCCCAAAATTAAATCGCTAAATACTCGGTCAGGTTGGATCAATTTGACTGAAATTTTTAGCAAATTCCCCTTTACATTATTTAGTTTTTAACTATTATAGTGAGAACTACCAGCTCTTTATCTAATCTCCCATAATGTATCTTTAACATTTTGTTTTGATATCATATTAAAAATACAAATCTGAAACTTTATGGATGCTGAGCTATTCACAAACACCAACAAGGCTACAAAGAAAACACTCTTTTATTACTTACAGATCAATGAAATGAAATGAAATGGGGTTTAATGTCCTACTGTTCTGCTCCGAACTGGGCTAATGAAGGCGGGCATACGCCATACAGTGTGCTATGAGGGAAATTTTGCCCGGACAGCGGCACTATGGCCTACTCTTACATCGACTTCCAACTGTCAAGGGATCTTTTACGTGCACGTCAATGTGTACACGGGAGAACGGTTTTTCGTCCCATCCGAACGACTAGACAGCTGTCCTTATCAGGCCCTCCGTCCTGCATCACTGACAAGGGAGAACCCCGCCGGAAAATCTGGATGAACTTTCTCGGCCAATGCAGGGATCGAACACCCGACCTCCAGGCTAGCAAGCCAGCGTCTTACCCACTTAGCCACCGTGACCCCCCCCCCCCTACTTTTAGATAACTTCTTCGATTTCACTGATGTATTTGCCGATGGATTGTCCGAAGAGTTGTGCGTTGCCGAGATTTCCAGCTAAATCGGTGACCTTGGCAACAGACACCGTTGAAAAGATTTCCAATAGTATTGGAGAGTTGCAATGATACAATTCTATGGATGCAGAGCTATTTACAAACCAATAAGGCTACAAAGAAAATTCTCTGTCATTACTTACAGACAACCTCTTCGATTTCACTGATGTATTTGCTAACGGGTTGTCCGTAGAGTCGTGCGTTTTCAAGCTTTCCAGCTAACTCGGTGAGCTTGGCAACGGCAGCGTTGAAAAGATTTCCAATGGTGTGGGAGAGAGTTGCAATACTACTTTCACCATTCTTGATGAATTGGCCGACTTTATCCAAAAGACTGTAAGTAATATAAACCTACTGTGGTGAATACTAAATCCATTAAAGTCGAGTAAATTTATATTGTGTGGACATAAAAATTAATCTTTAAGTGGCATTTAGCTATCGGTAAACACATTAACAGAACACGGTTTTTATTCTAAAAGCACGACGTTTCGACAAATATCCACTTATCGTTATCAAGCACAATGATAACGATAACGATAAGAGAATACTTGTCGAAACGTCGTGCTTTTAGAATAAAACTAGTGATTGTATCCCATAAAAACTGTGTTCTGTTGACATAAAAATTATAAAACCCTAACAGCAGCAAATTGAAATCAGTGTTCTAGCTCGAAAAATATCTTGGCAATTAGTTTTAAATGTGTGTTAAATTCAACCCGACAATTTGCAGAAACAGGTTGACCTTAGCGATAACTTATCAGTCAATACTGTGTTTAAAAACAAGTAACATTTCAGATGGCAGAATTAGTTTTAGATATAAATAGTGCATACTCCTCGCAGTGTTTCGTTTGATTAAAGCTTATCCCACGTAACACTGATGTAAAAGAAGCAAATTTCTATTCCAAATTATGACTGGTCAATAGTTCGATTAACAATGAATAGCTAACTGCGTAACAATATCATTACGCTTTAAACAGAGCTCCAAATTGGACCAAATATATAAGGTTACGTCATGACTCACGATGTTATTATGCCCAATTAACCAGTGCATAGCAGAATATTGCAAAAAAACTAATTGCCTGACAAATACAACACAAATGCAATATAAACAATACTGTTTGGAGACGAACAATAAATATACTTTCACCATTTTAATACCTTAAATCACTGTCCAAAGTTTTAGGGAAGACCCTAGATTAACCGAAGGGTTGTCATGTTGCTGTACTTGGGACAGATTTGATTGAACGGGAAAAATAGACAAATTCCCTCAAAAGCTCAAGTATCAGAAGCCAATCCAGCAATGGCCAGAGAGGGATTTTTCTGGCCATTGCTTGAAGAATATGATAATTATAGTGTTGTTCGTCATACTTACTCAACATCACGTGTGGTGGTATTGCCTCCATTAAGACTAGCGAGAAGAGCTGAAAATAAGACATGAAATCAAATCAAATGGGGTTTAACGTCCTACTGTTCTGATCCTATACTGGGCTAATGAAGACGGGCATACGCCATACAGTGTGCTATGAGGGAAATTTTGCCCGGGCAGCGGCACTGTCGCCTACTCTTATATCGAATTCCAACTGCCAAGGGATCTTTTACGTGCATTCCAATGTATACACGGGACCTCGGTTTTTCGTCTCATCCGAAGGACTATACAGCTGTCCTTGTCAGGCCCTCTGTCCTGCATCACTAACCTGAAAATAAGAATTAACCCGAAAATCTTATGGTGCCTTAGTTGTGTATTGAAGCCTACATACGTATGTGATTTTATTTCAGTTCAGAGACATTTCGCATTAGTAATAACGGAAAATTTAATTTAACCTTGTGTCACATTGTAATGAGCTGAAATGATATCCGTTTTCACACTGATCAGCAATGAATATTCGCTAGGCCGCGACTATCACTGATAAGGATGACATCGATGCGACTTAATGAGCCAGAAATATTAACTTTTTTCCTCCGACAAATTAAATTCTAAAACATTTTTTTGATGTATTAGAAAAATAAATAAAGACGTTTGACGTTTTTGTAGGTAAAAATTATTTCCTATTTAGTGTAAACAGGTATTAAAATGAGTAAAGGACTCCATTCCGCCCGAACCAGTAACGTCTTATGTAAACAAATCACGCGCCATTGAGCCAATGATTGACGCCGCATGATGAGACGTCACGTGTTGAAGTAGTCATCTTTTACAGAGATATTAGAAGACTTTAGGTAATTACCTTGTGCACCCTGTGCTAAGATCTGAGATCCAGTTGTTTTTAATTCTCCGACAAGTTTACCAACAGCACTGCTGAGCAGGGGCTTAACTCCAGCGTATACGTTTTTGATGTTATCACCAATGGACTGAAGAGTGGCTTTGAATTCATCCAAGAAGCCCGCGTGGGCTCCAGTTAAGACAAGAGTAATGGTTAGAATAGCAAAAACTTTCATTGTTGCTTTCTACAACAAAAATAATTAATGTGGTTCAATTCATTTATAACCATTCTAAATTATAGAAGTTTGGTTTCGAGTTTGAAAAGATCAATGTGTCAATGTGGATTATATTTGGGCTGTTTTAGACGACGGCGGGGTAAAATCGTTTGCACTTTTTTTTTGTATGTATTTTACGATGAGTAAATTTCGAAAATTGGAATAGATTATAACAGTTCAGCAATATTCTGATTTAAGCTAATAATGGAGGAGCGAGACTTAGCTTCGAACAACGAGTACGGTGGTTGAAATTATTGCACACGTCTTGTCAAACCTTCAAAGGCTAATATCTTCGCTCGCAATAGAGTAATTTGAATGAAATTTTCAAATTATTCATTTTACATTATCTATTTTCGAATTATTATAGCGAGAATGGCTAGCTCTTTATCTAAATCTTACATAATGTATCTTTAACTAAACAAAATTTTATAATATTAGAGGGAATAGTCTCTTATTGTCAGCGCTCTTTTAGTTATCAAGCACCTGTTTTATGGACTAATATACAATTTAGTTTAAGATGTTGTACATCTCTATATTCTTTTAAAAAACAACTTAAAACACATTTATTTAATCAGGCTTTTAACTGACTCTGTATACAATCGTTAACATGTCCATAATCTTGTTGTTTATTTATGATTACATTGTCACTTTGTAAAGTGCCCCTGAACATGTTATATGAAAGGGCGCACTATAAATATGCTGTAATAATAATAATAATAATAATATAAGAAATACTTACTGATTGTCTGTTGTTAGGCAATGAGGTAAGCCTTCAATTCCAGTTGGCTTTTATACTCTTCCGTGGAGATAATCATGCATGTTCCTGATATTGTTTTCTAAAGATAGATTCTGATTATGGAGGGTATCTCTTATCTTGTCATACAATTTTTTATCTGGACCCAATTTTGACATGTTTCGAGCAAATGTTAAACTAAACATGCATTATGCAAGAGTTAAATCTGCCTTTTGCCCGTCTTTCTTTGGGTCTGAAATGTTATATAAACTATTAATTAGACATTTATTTATACAACAAGACCATAATCAACTCTCGATGACACCGCATACTAGAGATTTTAACTAAAACGATTGGCCATTTAAAAACTTAATTTAAAAATGGGAAAGCGAGGCTAAGTCTCGAATATACCAATGCGCTGGTTACTACTATGCACACATCTTGCAAAACTACAAATAGGTTCAGAATGAATAATTTGAATGAAAGTTTGAATATTTTCGTTTTACATTATCTAGTTTTCAGCCATTTTATAGCAAGAGAGTGAGAGAAATGGGGTTTAACGTCCACTCGACACAAACTAGGTCATTTCGGGACTAACATATGGTTCAATTCTATTTTCATAATTCGCTTGCGCGTAGGGAACTTTAGCAGAGCAGTGGGGGGGGGGGGGCGGAGGACCTGGAGAAAACCCACGATGTTTGGCAGGCGACCCTACTCCTTGTAATGTACAAGCGGGGAATCGAAACCACACCAGTTGACTCAATGACAGACTTTATGATACAGCGCGCACGTGCTAACCATTCAGCCATTACCCCCCCCCCCACATTTTATAGCAAGAATAGTCAGCTGTTTATCTAAAATCTTACATAATGTATCGTTAATCTTCATGAGCAAACAAATCAGACTAGGTCAATGTTCTTTTTAAATGATTTTAAAAATGGTGACTTTCCAAACCGATAATAAAAATGGAAGTATTAGTAGGCCTAAGATAAACCATCACACACTTTATTTTTATCCTACTGCGCAGCATGCTAATACAAGTGATTATATATAATGACTGTGTAAGGGGAATAAATGGTGTTTAACGTCCTTCTATTCTGCAGCAACCGGGTGATGAAGACAGACATACGCCATGCAGCAACCTGGTGATGTAGACAGGCATACGCCATGCAGCAACCTGGTGATGTAAACAGGCATACGCCATGCAGCAACCAGATGCTGAAGATAGACAACCTGGTGACGAAGGAGTTGACAACCTATTGAGCAAAAGACATAGAAATAATTATGTTTTGACTTTCTTAGAAAATATGAAATTGTAACTTTAATAAAATAAAGAGCACGACCCATGCTTTTAGATTATCGAGATTATTTTTCAATAGTTTCGTTGACCCTTTATTGTGATTTGAATTCCAGATCATAATCAGAATTATTCTTTTCTTTATTAAAATAAAACGAACAATTTACCTTTCTCGGCAATTTTATTCGTCGTGTTGTTGATCATGTTATGCCTATAGATATTATCTTCGTAAGTTAACAAAAGTAGTTCTTCTCCTAAAATGTAATGTTAAAGGGGCAAAATCGGTAATATTTTGGAGCTAGAAATTGGCACCCATGGGTCGCAACACATATAATAATATAATAGGAATTTATATAAACTCAATTTATATAATTCAATCGTTTCTGTTTTACTGTATATTGTCATCAGTTATGTTCGGCGATATACGCCAGAAGTCTCAACCGAAAGTCAATTTCTAGCGTCTGGTTATTCCAGTCAACATCGATAGTATTTATTGTGCATGCTCTACAAATAAGAATATGGCATTACTGTTTGATATGACATGTGGAATATATGTCTAGCATCATTCTTTGAGCACCTTGTTACAAATTGCGCTGAAACGCATTATGGTACACGATTCGTGTACCAATGGTAAAATGTTTATTTTGTCTGAAATATTAGATATCAGAAGCCCATCGTTTCCAGTTAAAATCACCACACCAATGCTGATTTAAAAATTGCCAAAAAATTCGTGTTTTCAATGTAGATGATATTGGGTTACGGACTTAGCTACTTTAAGCTGTTACATACGCATCAGTCACAATTCCGTGTAACCTCTTGCGTCATCTATCGTAGGTATTTGCCTGGGTAGCGCAAGGTGCGTATTCGTGGTTTACTGGCTTACATTTGCCGCAGGGGAGTCGCAATACCTACGTCATTTTTCTAAGGGTTTCATGTTAGTAAGTTTTGTCATCAATAATGTTACGGACCTTAATATCCATTTTAACTGTCCTTCCTCTCTCTAAATGGCCGTCAAAACAAGAAACAATCACGCCGCACGTGATCAAACGTCAATTTGCATATATGCCGTCCATTCCCATATGTATATGCTAATCGTATGTGTTTATAGTAAGCATATACTTATAAGGAAAGCGATGGGCGGGGCTAATGCAACGCGATATGGGGCAAGATATCGTCTGGAGTCCGCTACATCATTAGAAATTTCGCCTACCATCAAGACAAACTGCTCGGTAAATATTTAGTGACAAACTCCTCATTATTTGTCACATAATTACTCATTTTAATTTGTGTTGATAATTTTGCGTTTGGAGCTATGTGGGCGTGCACAAAGCCTCGTAGAGTGTCAATTATTGTAGCGGCGCCACAATATTGCAGAAAATACATTGCTCAGCTTGAAAATTTTAATTGTAATTTCTGTTGATAATTTGGGGTTATGTTGGCTTGCACAAAGCCTCGAAGAGTGTATTAATTGTAGCGGGGTACGATATTGCAGATAATACATTACTCAGCTTGCAATATTAAATTTTAGAAGAAAAAAATATATATATTTGTTCCTACCTGTTACTAGCATTGCATTAAAGATACAAGAAACCAGAAGCCTTATGAACAACTCCATTTCTAGACAGCAAATGACACTCTTTTTTCATTTCCAACAAATATTAATTAAAATGCCTGACTATGGACTTTATTACGAAGGCCCATTAGTGCCAAAAAAAATATTTTAATCCGTTTGAACGAGTTAGTATCTCGTTTGAACCAGTTAGTATCTCGTTTGAACGAGTTAGTATCTCGTTTGAACGAATTAGTATCTCGTTTGAACGAATTAGTATCTCGTTTGAATGCATTAATTATCTCGTTTGAACGAATTAATTGTCTCGTTTGAAAGAATTAGTATCTCGTTTGAACGAATTAATTATCTCGTTTTAACGAATTAATCATCTCGTTTGAACGAATTAGATCTCGTTTGAATGTATTAATTAATTCGTTCAAACGAGATACTAATTCGTTCAAACGAGATACTAATTCGTTTCAAACGAGATACTAATTCGTTTCAAACGAGATATTAATTCGTTCAAACGGATTAATATTAAAGTCGGCCTTATGAAATAGATCTAACCCAATCTGATTAAAACACAGATCCAATTTCGTTTCGTTTTTATAGTTCAAAATTTCGATTTTACTTGTCTTTACTACACTTGGATCTGGAAGCGTTGTTATTTAACTCGTGTTCTGCTTGAAATGAGGGGTCAGCCAATCAAATGGTCTGTCGAATCGAGCGTTTGACCTTTTTTGCGCGGAAATGTGGGTAGACATTAGCGGCAATAGAAATGAAAACAAAGCAAAAGTAGATAAAAAATTGGTTAAGCGAATGACTGACATGATCGGGTCAAATGTCGCTTGCTTGGTACCTGACGTCATAGAACGTGAACTCCCACTATAACTTGTTAGATCTACATGTAGTGTAGGCCATCGAAAGTATAAAAAACGAAACGAAATATAGATCTATATTTTAATTAGATTGAGATCTAACCCTTATTCTGTTACCGTTTGACTTAACTTGTGCCTAGAATTGAAATAGAACACTACTGGATTTATAGGTTTCATATTTATTTATTAACTGTGGCTTATTATATTAATGACATCCGATACAGATAGACTGGCAGACTGTCTAGAGACCAATTTCAGACATAAAAATTTTATGAGTTTACAGAGAAATAAAATCGGTTCAACACAACAGCCATCATACCACAGGTATGTATAATTTTATGAATTCACTTGATGTTTCGAAGTGTATATATGAAACTTCTTTTATATCAATAGGCAAGTCATTGCTTCGCTTCGCCCACGATTCACCTAGACGGGAGAAAGGATTGGCCCACTCTGATCAATCGGCCTTGGTCGTTCTTAGCCGTTGAGAAGGTGCTTCTTTCCAATACATCTGTAAATTAGATACCTGTTGGTCCTAAATTCCTACTCTAAAGCAGCGGATTGGGTCAACTGGATAGAATAAAATGTTAAATCTTTCCAGAGAAGACTTGTGCTACAAACCCTACGTCGACCATTAAGAAACAAAACATCCCGAACCTGGGGCCTGTTTCACGAAATTTTAACTAAGATAAAATCCAAATTTTAATAATTTGATTGGATAATATTAGATTGATTTAAGTGCTTAGCATATCAAAATTGAAGTATCTACTAAAATTTGGATTTTATCTTTAGTTAAAATTTCGTGAAACAGGGCCCTGATGTCTAGGTTTCTGGATTGACAGAGTACCAACGAAATAAATTTAAGTAAAACGTTTCCTTTTTTTTCATTTTTGACGTTGCGCGAAAAAAAACATTTTTGGGGGTATTTGTCCTGTTCCTGCGCCTCTGGACAGAGAACATAAATACTTCATATTAACTTTATGTATTATTATTAATGATTAGAATCTGACAGTAGTTTTTAATTTCCATTTAAATAAGTAATAATCATATGAGACCCGTGTCACAGCCTATCATTTTACTGGTATAATTAATTCTATTTTCAGACATATAATTTCATTTTTCATTTCCAAACATCCTTTCGGTGTGCGGGGGATGGCCGAATGGTTAGCACGCGCGCGCTGTATCATACGATCTGTCATTGAGTCAAGTTTATTTCCATAATTCGCTTGCGCTTAGGGGTCTTTAGCAGTGGGAGGACCCGGAGAAAACCCACGAGGTTGGACAGGCGACCCTACTCCTTG